CTGCAGGAAAATTAGTCACTCTCCCAGCCTCTGGGCCCGGGAGAAGGCTCTTGTTGCCCGGTTGGAGAAGGGAGCCTCCAACACCTGCCTCCTGCAGTGCCAGCACCCCTGGGCACCCCGCAGGCACCTCTCCAGGCTGCCTGCACTCCCAGCTGCCCTCCTCATGGCTACTGCCCCATGGATGGGATCCCACCAGTGAGGGAAGCAGCATCCTCCTCCCAGCACACAGCGGTCACTGACTCTCGCTTGCATCGCTCCTCTCCCTTTCAACTGCAGATGCGCTGGTGCTGTCAGATGGAGACTTTACATGGTCAGGAGGCACAGTGAAGTACAAAGCCTTCCCATAAAGCCTGCAGAAGCCTGCAGAAACCAAATTATTCCTCTGTCTCCCATGGATGCTAATACGGCTGTCATGACAGTTGTGTCTCTGTTCTACCCATTTGCTTTCCTACCCCTCTTTGCCAGGCAGAGGAGCACGGATCTCACCAGTTTAAATGACATGAAGGGCTAGGGTGACCTACCCAGGGGAGCATGGGTAGCCTGTGGCAGAGAGCTCATATGGAGCAGGATGAGATCACGAGGAGTTTGTTTCACATCCCCAGGCTTCCCTCCTCCATGGAGGAACAGGCAAGTGTCCCTGGCACCGGCTGCAGCACCTTCCCTGGGGGTACAGAGAGACCACTGCAGGGGGAGGAAAACACCCAGCTTGGCTGCTTGCTTCCCACTGAACATGGCATGGGCAACAGCATGTTCCTCCAAGTCCTGGAGACGCTGTGTGGTGCTACATGGATGTGGGAAAACACCTGACATGGAGATCCAGCCAGGAGAGCAGAAGAGCCCAGGCAGTGCCCAGCATGGAAGCACCACAGGCTCTGCCGGTGGCTCCAGCACGGGCTGTTCCCACAGTGATAAAGGGACAAGGGAAGTAGGACACGGCCCAGAGACTTTTGGGTACGGGAGATGCAGCTCATCACAAGACTTCCTGGGGGGACATCTCACCTCTTGGAGAACAGTGCCCAGGCACCCATTGGGAGCCAAACCACGCCGGAGAGCAGAGCAGCCAGCCAGGCTGGGGAGCCCTGACAGACGGGGACTCCGTGTGCTCCTCCACATGCCAGGAATCTTGTTAGAAAGCCACAAGCTGTCCACAAAGCACATTTCTGGAAAAGGCTGGAAAGGCTCTGCTGCACAGCACAGAGGCAGCACCGCCCTGGTTGACCCTGTGAGACTCCGGGGGGCAGCTCGGCCCCGGGCAGGGGCAGTGCCCCCCCCCCAGCTCCCTCACCC